CATGCATTTTTTTTACCAACAAATGTATTACTTTAGCTTTTGATTATAAGCCACAAACAAAGCTGCTGTCTGCAAATTATCTAATCACCAGCATTTATAGTTTCTGCTTGGACCAATTTACCTTTCTTTGTCTTGTGTCCCTCCGCCAACGTGCGGTCAACTCCGCCAATACACTTACGGGCACATACGACCAGCTTCTTCCACGAACAACTGTTAGTGGCTGTGTTCGTTCTTTTTCTACCGATTATATGTGTGTGATGCATATATAATCCTCATTTGTCTTGCGTTTTCTGTCTGATCAACGGGAATGCACTGCTCCACGGGAGCAGCCATGTTTGTTGTTCTTCTTCTGTTCTCGCATCTGAATGGGAGAGCGCACCTGAAGGACGCGCTCTGATTGGCTAACAGCTAGGCGGCTTCATTCGAGCGTACTTTACCGGTGTGATCAGGCTACCGATATAGTTACATTTTTAAGTAATTATTGTAAAAATACTGGCGCAAAGCGATTGGAGAACTTTTGGTTATGAGCTCAAAATGCACTAAGGATTTTTTTTCAGGTGTCATTTAGTAGTCCCTCAATAAGTGGAGCGAAACTTAACGATACAGGCTTCAGCCTATGGCCTAATATGAGGACAACCATTCACTTTATTTCCATTTACTTATCATTTTAAAAGTAATGTGATAAGGTCCTATTCTTACTTGAATTTTCTTCTGAAAATAACCACAGAAATCTGTGAACATTTGGTCGTTGTTTTTTTTCAAACATTTTCTCTATGAATAAAACGTATTCCCTTTGTTCCCTTTGAGAAAAAGTAATGAAAAACTCACATCAAGTTGATCCTCTGTCAGTCTGTCATGTGACATCAACATCTTCTCCTCTTCTCTGTCCATCATTGCCATCCAAACTTCATCTGCTTCATCTGCAAAGATTCAAAGATTTCATTTCAGATTTTCTGTTTCCTAACAGGAAAACACATTTTTAGGTTTCGTTTTATTTGGAGAATAATTCGGGAGAATCAGGTAGGAATTTGGCCGGGTGAAATAAGTTGAAAAACCACAGAGGGCCAGGCCACACAACAGGCCCTAAATACACCATTAACCTTTTGATCCCCAGCACATCAGGAATAGGGAGAAATGAGAAGAATATTCATCCTTGACGGGACATTATGACAGTTTTTTTTTACTTAGATTCTCAATATATATTTTGTATCAAAAGAAACTTCAGAATCTTATCTCAAAATAGCTTCCAAAACTGTGCTGATGACCACCAAAAACAGCTTAAATAATTTAACAAATAACAAATAATAACAAATAATAAAGAATAAGTAAGTCATTTTACTTAGACTGAGTTTTTTGCAATATGATGAATGAACAAATCGGGAGAAGTAAACATCTGTCATCGACCCTTAGTCACTTAATTACTGGTACTTAATTAATGTTAAATCGCTTAGTGCCTTTTTTGGACTCCTTTTATCGTGGCTCATGAGCAGGGACTTCCACTGAGAAATAAAAAATGGCTAAAAATTGTGGAGCAATTGTAATTTTTTTTTGTTTGGAGAGGCATTTACCTGGGATTGCTGGTTGTTATACTTAGAATTTAAAGTCAAACAGGGATAAACAGATTCAACCAACAGGTGGAGACACAGCACGCTGTAACTTTTTTCATGAGGTCGTCTGGTGACAAATCAAACCAACTTCCCATCTCTTAACCCTGAGTCTGACTCCCAGAGCAGCAGTTTTCTCACATCAGGGCCTGACAATGCCTTCAACTGTTCAGAGCTTTGGTTTTCTCCTCTTCTTCCATTGTAAGATGGCAAAAAATTGTTCTCTACATAATCTCTGATAGTTTCATTTGAACGACCAGCTCGACAGTTGAATCAAAATGGAGAATTTACATTTACGTCTGATTTATGATGTTTTAAAATGTTTTTTTTTCTCCACAGGTCAAGTGAGCGCTGTCACATTTCAGCAATCTGCTTCCCAGATAGTGAGGGACAAAGCCCAGGTCCGCATTACCTGCAGTCATGACGACAGCAACCTGCCGGTGATGCTCTGGTACCAGCAGAGTAAAGAGACCCGCTCAGTGGTCCTGATTGGGTACACGTATAGAAACAACCCCCCGACCTACGAGGGTCAGTTTAAGGACCAGTTTGAACTGAGCCCGGAGGGCCCGACAGCGGGAGCGCTGACGGTACGCAGCGCCAACGCGTCCCACTCTGCCGTCTACCTCTGCGCTGCCAGCCCACAGTGATGTGGTTTAATAACCAGGCTTCACTAAAAACCTCATTTCCTCTTTACACGGAACAAGCGGGCGCTCAGTTCTTCGTTTGTCGTTTACCATGTTCAGTCCAGTCCATGTTTCTGAAGCCAATTCAAACTGAATTGTTAATCGGTCATACCATACCAAAGAGGCCTATTCTCTGGGCTCATTAAGATTGTTTATATTTGCTGTAAATGTTGCTGTCATTTGTTGTGCTTATGTTCCTATTACCAGTTTTCCATTGATAAATATAAAGAAATGAGAGGTGGATCCAGAAATGTAACTTATATGAATTCTCGACAGTCTCTCGTTTGTTATAATTCGGTGTTTCATGATGTTATTCCAGACGTTTTTTTCCTTCCAAACAAAAAAAATTCAAGGTTTCTCTTAAAGGAACTGAATTTTCAACATTTGATCTGTTCTTTTAAGGCCAGGAGACTAGTGAGTAAGCGTTAGCTGCGAGCGTGAGACATCACTTCCTACCAGCTAATGTGGTCATGTGACCTCATGCTCACTCTCTGCTGGGACAGAATCCCATGTTGTGTCGTTCAACTGAAGACATCACAAAAATGTGGGCAGCTGTGTTTTATCTAGCACTTTTAACACATTCAGGTGGGTGCTGTGCATTGGCTCATAGGGAAATGAGATATAAAAATATGAATATGAAATATGAAACTGGACTCATAGTAACTTTGGTCTTTCTGTGCCACAGCTCTCTCTGTTGTAGTTCTTCAGTCTGAAGATCGAATGTCTCCCCCCGGAGTCTCCGTGGCTGTGGAGTGCAGAATGGGCGCGGGGTTTGCCATGAGCAGCTACACCATGCTCTGGTACCGGCAGAACCGCCACGGAGCTCTGGTGGAGTTTCTCATCAAAGAGTACGAAGAGACCGCGGGTCGCTTCCACTCCTCCATCGACACGGCCAACAACAGCTTCTCCCTCCAGATCACACGGCTCTCTGTGAACGACAGCAGCACCTACTACTGCGCTGCCAGACACAGTGATGCACCCACACCCCACGCTCACGCAGATAACACAGACTGCATCACACACACGGCCCACAGGCAGGAAGAAGGTGTTTGTTTTAGATCAAAATGTCAGCTCGTGGTCTGTTTCTTTTCCCTGTTTGGGATACTATTTATGGATGAAGATTTTCTAAAGAAGACTCCATGAGACTTGCCTGTCATTGGCTCTAGTTTGATGGCTCAGTAAAAACAAAAACACACCAACTGGAACAGAGCAGTGAGCAGTCCCTGTGCGTCCCCAGGCGTCTAAATATTACGTAGACGTAGAAATAAAGTACATTACAAGCAACTCTCTGCTGCTAAATAAAGAGAGTAAGGATCCTTACCAAAGCATGGAGCTTACATGTTAATATTAACAAAAAAAGTCCAAGTATGCAATATATGCTGGGCACCACCCTGCTGAGTCTAAACTGCCTGTTCGGTCACCTTTCTCCACCACAAACCTGATGCGTTCAGATAAGAGAGCAAGTATGGAGGGTATCAGCCCAGTTTTATGCTCTTTAATGGATTCCCATCACTCTCATCCTTCTCTTCTCTCTGTGAACCATTCTATTTGTTGTGAATGTGCTATAATCCTGGTTTCTGTTCACGAGGACCAAGTTTAAAAAAGGGAGACAGACTGACCTCTATTGGCCGTAAGTGAGACTACATCCAAAGCGACAGGAAGTGATTCTGTGCCTCATGGAACGCCACATGTATGGAGTTATGGGTTATATTTATACATAAACAGTTCCAAGTGGGATGGTTTGCGCAGGGAATAAAACAGTGTATGTCTGGTGGTCAGATGATGTCACGACTTCTACACACTGTGGGAATCTCTCTCAAAATAAATTGGATGTCCTACAATCTGATGTTAGTGTTTGCTTAAAAACAAGATTCAGAGGAAGTTGGCATCTTCAATCAGGAGATTTCAAAGCAAGAGGTTCCACATTTGGCTGGGATGACAATTCAGACGACTGGAATTTTTATCCGTTTTTACCTCACCAAAGACTCAGAACAAACATTAAGGAATTCTAAATAAACACGACAACAATAAAAAAAATACCAACAATTAAAAAACTTGAACAAATACGGACAAAACTCCGGACAAAACTCCGGACAAAACTCTGGACAAAACTCCGGACAAAACTCCGGACAAAAGACCAAAAAGGGGCTCTGACCCTCTACTCATGGGCTGTCTTGGGGCAAACCAAACAAAGCCCAACCAACTTCCTTACGGTTGGGTCTAATTATTAAGTTGTTGATCAACTTAAGTGTGGAATGCTTTATGCCAGTTATGGGAAAGACAAAAACGTTGATGACTGATTGTCTACATTTGTATTTTTTATTGCAGTTTTTAATAGTTGTACAGTAAAGAAGTAAAAAATAAACGTTTGTCACATGTCTCGGTGGCAGCCACAGCCTGACGGCTGATTGGATGAAGAGCTGTGACCAGCAGAGGTGTCACTTCCTCTGAGCGGCTATAAACAAACACCAACAAAAGAGCAGCTTCCCCTTTCCTTTCCTCACTTCTTTTCTTAGCTGTCACAGAAATAGCAGCAGTCGGGTTGGAGTGTGTTCAGCCCGACACAAACAGCTGCTCTCGCACAAACGTACACACACACACACACACACACACACACACAGATGGAGGCTGAGATAGGGAGAAGCTGGGTGGGGGAGGCAGAGAGGGGAAAACTAAAGAGACACA